GCAGCATAATCAGCACGTTCTCTTTGAACTTGACATCAAATTTTCGCCTCCTCTTCATCTCCGCACGGTTAAAGTTACCCTCGCGGTCTATCACTGGCAAATCAAAAGTGAGACGATGACACAACCGCCCCCCGTACTTGCTTGTTACCACATTCCACCCGGCCACAATAAAAAACCGGCCATTATTCACCTCCGCCGACTCCGACACCGGCCAAAATATGATACCCGGCAGTTAATTAAATACAGGCTAATATTAGAGGATTTACGGTAATATTTTTTCTGGCTGTAATGATTTGTTTCAGATCTTAAATTGCACCAGATAGTAACTGTCGATTTTAATAATGCTAATCTATCAGTATATCCACACCTTGTGATATTGTTATTAATGTTTAGCATTTTTACTTCACACTAAGAAATAACCTCTAAGCATCTGAGTAAATGAGTGATTGCCTGAGTTTTTTGGTAATGCCTTTAAACTTATCATAATCTGATTTGTCTAAAATTGTAAACAGTAGCTAATAAAACGTAAAGTTCACTTCCTGAACTAATCAGTGGTGATATCTAAATTCAAATGGAGCTGCAACTCTTTGAGATTCCAGGAGCTACTTCATCCGTTGACATCACCACTTTGGCTGCCTCTTCTCCAGACCACCGAGAGCGACCATCAACACAGGGGTATCGTAGACCTGCACACTGGTGTGGGATGGTCTTATCAATAATCTATAGCTTGTTGAACCCTACAGTCAGACTGCTTTTACAACCCAGACATTACAAGATCTCTAAGATACTTAACAAGGTTTTTCTATAAAACATCTTGCTTACAATCCATCATTTCATTCATCGTCTGTAATCGTGGTCAACCATCATTCATCACAATGTGTTCTGCTCCATCGTTAGTTTAACAGTGGCGGAGCTTGATATGTGCAACATGTGCGGCCGAACAGGGCGGCAGTCTGGAGGGGGCTGCATTTAATTTCTTTTTTTTTTTTTACATTTTTTTTTTAATTTTTTCTTTTTTTTTCTTCCATCAACCAATACATCAACAAAACATAGAAATCACATGTTCTTCATAATAATAATAGTGATGAGTGATGATAATAATAATATTTCTGTAATAAAAGCACAACAAAGTCATTGTTTGCGTTTATATTGGGATTTTATTGCGCCCCCTTGTGTCCGCCGCACCTCTGTAGTGCGCTCTATAGCGCCCTTCATCAGGTGGGGGTGGAGGGATCTCGGAGAGTGATGATGGAGGGATACATGTACCGTTTCACATATCACCGCTCACAAACATAATGGAGAAGAAGCGGTCTAAGCCATCTGGTGCCCAATTTTGGAAAAAAAGAAAAGAAGAGGAGGAGAAACGTGGAAAAGATGCAGGTATGCATCTCTTTATTATTTAGTTGGTATTTTTCCCGCCTGTCCCCCAACTTATTGATTAACTAACCTCTCTAATCTGAACGTTTTGCATGGTGCTATGATGATCCCTTCAAATGTCTTTTGCTAGCTTCTTACGTTGCATGTATTTAAAACTACTTCCAACCGCTAGCTTTTTTTTTTGTCAAATGAGCTTTTATGAAAAGCTAAGAGTGGGAAAACCGAAAGGCTGATGACCAAACACTATCAAATTAAAATGAGTCTTTTGAGAATTTTGCTGAAATACATTGACGGCGGGCGGCAGGTCTCGCGCCGGCGCCATTCCCCTTTCTTTTTGGACTCGGGAAATGAGCTACGTATTATTTACCCCACGAAAAACGGAGCGGCAGCGTGCCGCTGGAGGTGCCCTGCTAGTAAGATCCCGTTTAAACTGTAAACTGCCATAACATAAAAACTATAATAGCTAGAGCGGTCTTTTTTTAGCTCAACGTTGAGACTGTCTCGCCTTTCAGCACTGTACAAGTTGATGATGTCATCGTGTTGCGTTAAGTGTGCTGCACAGCACACCGCGGCTATGTTAAAAACTCACAGTGACCTTGAAGCAGCGTGGGAGAGTTGAAGAATTTAACCAGTTAAAATGGATTCATGGATATTTAATCAATAGTTGTGGCTCCTCTGGTCATTTAGTTCTTTGTGTGCCGGAGACATTTGCTGAATAAGGAAATAAAAACTTAAAATGACAAAAAAATTAGGGAAAAACACTTGTTTTGTATTTTATCAATTATTAATGATTAATAGATTGTTGGTGTTTTAACTTTTGGTAAAGGAAAACACACAATTTCCAGGCAGCCCCAGTCTGGAGAAGTGATGGTGACATCAGCCGTTAAAAATAAATAATACTCTGAGGTTTTTATGAATAATTTGTACTTTTACTTGCGTATTTCTCTAACACCAGTACTTTTACTTGTAAATGAGTAATATTTTAGCAATGTAACAGTACTTGTACTTCAGTACAGATTTTCAGAATTCTTTCCACCACTGCTGAAAACTGTAAATGCTCATTGTAACATGTTAATTAAAATGCTTAAGCAACAGACGTGACATGAAGATTGTATTGTTTGTTTTATGCAACATCAGGAGCCCTACGCAGATATTTTGGGATGACATCAGCTGCCACTGAGGAACAGCCATCTACCTCCACTGCTCATACCAGTAGGCCAGTATTTGAACTCGAGGAGGGACAGTCTGCTGGCACCACATCTCCCCAGGAAGATACTTTAGGTGGGTTGTGCACACGTGTGTGTGTCCAGCAAACATTTAGCTATAGACATTTAAATAGTATTTTCACAGAATATGGGAATTGTTCCATATAGCAATGTGGTGAGTTATGCTTCCATTTTCTGTCAATAGAGAGACCTACCAGTATATGTGAACTTGATGAGGGACAGCCAGCTGCCACGTCTCCCCAACAAGATATGTCAGGTAAGTTTTGCACAAGTGTGTGTGTGTGTGTGTCCTGCAAACATTAGAGAAATTTGAATGTCACATATTGTATTTTAATAGAATATGTGAAATGGTCCACATAGCAATGTGTTGAGTTACGCTTCTGTTTTCTGTCAATAGAGAAGCTTGAACGATCAACCAATGGGTCCCATTGAAGGTGATGATGAGCCTCTTTCTTCAGACCCAGCCAAGTGGCCATCACCAATTACCGACAGCATATGCACAGAGCTAGTTCGAAGAGGACCTACTAAGGTGCCAACTACTTTCATATTTCCCAGGAATGAAGGCGATGGCAGGTGTTGTCATCATCACTATTTCAGTAGAACTTTGACAAGTGGTGAGAAGGTGGTCAGGAGCTGGATGTTGTATTCAGTTAGCAAACGTTATATATAATATGCTCCACGCAATTTGAAACAAAGTTGTAGGTGTAATTTTTTTTCATGTGTGTGTGTGTGTGTGGGGGGGGGGGGGGGTGTCACGGGGGATCTCGCACAGGGCGCCATTTAGGCCAGCTCCGCCTCTGGTTTAGAAATATAGAATTGAATTCATTTTTATAAACTATAGTCGGACTCTGTCAGAATTAATATGGAGTGTGTGTTCCATGAATAGTTCAAAGCTAAGGTAACATTAAATCAAATATTCAAAGACCAGTCAGATTGATCATTTATATTTATATGGAATATCACATCTTACTGATCATTTAACAAATATGTAGTGGCATCCACACAGGATCTCCAAGAACTTACACTATCCTTGTATGTAGGCCATCCAATGGTGTCAAAGTGGTTTATGTTAACTTGATAACTCCTTAAATTACATCAAACAAACAGCCAAATATATTTTATAAACCCAGATTCACACCTTTCTGAGTCACTTAGTGAAGCCCTTAAACCATACAGGGTCATGTTTCATCAGAGTTAATTCATTTTCTCTTTTGATATCGCTTTGAATCACCATTTATAATCATTTGCATTTCATCATCGTTAATATAATATAGTACTTTTTTATGAACTATAATTTTAGTTTCTGTGTCAAATTATTATTAAGTGTTGTTTCCCTAGCATTACCCAAATTATCTCGTTTCATCATCAATAGAATATCAAAGGCTCAATAATATTGATAATCCATATTTTGGGGAATATTGCATTTTATTAGATACCTTTATATTCTATTAACAATCTGTTAAAAGTAACTACTTACAAAATGTTACACCACTGATTCATTTCATATGATTTTGATGCAGAGTCCCAATCCAGAACGGTTCCAGAAAAGAGTCTTAACAGGGCTCAGCTTCCTGTTGTCGTGTCATTTCCTCATTACAGCTGCCACAAACCTCACTAACGAAGAACGTTGAAAAGAAACGTGTTATTGTTACAAATATGCTTTGATAGTAGCCTGATTGCTCATGATTAACAGTGAGTAGTTGTGCTGTATAATAAGCATTACCATGACATATTGCGGGCTTGTCCCTGCACAACCCCTGCAGTGCTGGATGTGTAGAATAGTGGCGAGAAAGCAGCTCATACCACAGCTCCACAGAGAGTGGTTCAGTCTGATTAATGCACTTCTATCTTGGTTGAGTGTTTGCTGTCCGTACGTGTTTGGTTGAAAGGTGACAGACTGGAACTAAAAGCAGACAGGTGAAATTTTAAACTAAGCCATTGTCATTTAATTTGAAAATCTCTATCTGAGGGTGAATTTAAAAGGTCATGCTATTTGCTTTATGAGGCTATATATTCAATCTTTTTGACCCGATTCCAATCATTTTAAATCACATGATCAGAACCGATGTCCAATCATGTGATCGGACAGGGTCATCCCTATCAATGAGAGTATATCATATGATAGTGAGGTGAAACTGTCTGACTGAGTCCCATGTAGTTTTGTCTTTGCCGTATGGTGCTTGAAAAATTAGAAAATTTACCTTGAAAATCATTGATAAGTGCTTGAAACTGTCAGTAGAAAAAGTGTAAGAACCCCGTTTAAATATGATTTCCTTTCTATCTGGACAAATACTCAATTACAGGAGCCCTGCCTAAGCACACATTTATCTAAACTGACCCCATGTAGGATTAAGCAGAGAACATGTGTGTAAAGGGAGAGAAATGGCTCATACTGTACCTTAGGCCACTGATTACTCTTTCCAAACAACATTTAGTTCCTCAGTGTTGCAAAAATGTCCTCTCATTCAACAAACAGTCCCTCATGTGCTGTATCCAGGACCAAGCGGCTCAGCTGAATCCAGTCTGCCAGTGCCAGGCTGGCTGGATAGCCTCAGTAAGTCAAAGACGTTGCCATGTATCAGATTTGAATGGAAAAAGGAAAGAGGATGAACCCCCTCAGACACATTACATCTACTAATGCTCTCATCTCTATTCCTGCCCTGCCTCTCTGAACTGGCATCAGGAAAAGTATTTGCAGCAAGCAGCCTGAAGCTTTCTTTCCCCAGGGTGAGGTTTGGATGGGCATTAGTGTTCCTATTCAAGCTAGGGCGAGGTACCTCACAAGGGGGTGGTGGGTCTATAGTTAGCAGCAGATGCTGATCAGGCCAGGATGTGTGAGTGCGCCTGGAATCTGACACCAACAGCCAGCTCAGTCACATCGCTTCACTATATATAGACACACATTATCTGCTCCAGATAGACTTTAAGGTTAGTTTGGCTTTCCCTTGCCCCCCCCCCCCACACACACACACACACACACACAAATACATGGCTGTGCTTAACACTGAGGATGTAGTTAATCTAACAGTCTGTAGCTGGCAGAACAGGAAGAAAGAACCGAGGAGATCACTGGCAACAAAGACCTCAGCACATGACACGGCCTGTAATAAATATTACAGAAACATCTAAACAATCACACTCATCTATTATTCACTAGTAGGGTGGTTAGATGTCCTGCTTGGTTCATCCAGTAATTTGAGATTTTGTCCTGCATTAATGTCAGTTTCCTGTTTAGAGTTCAATCTTGCATAAACTGTGTAGAAAAAGCTGCCTGTTGCTGTCAATCAAACTAGGAGGCGGGAATTTAACGCAGGTCCAGAATGTGCAGGGGTGTGTCAACATTTTCTCGAGGGTGGCATGTTAGGGGCACAAATTTGAACAAGTAAACGATCCATAATCTTAAAAAAAGAAACATTTTTTTTTATAGATACAGGGGTCCTGTACTGGTGCAGCAATAGCTCAAGAGGTAGAGAGGGTTGTCCAGGAAGGTTCCAGGTGTGATCCGGACAGAGAATGCTGCTGTTGTGTCCTTGGGCAAGACTCTTAACTCACCTTGCCTGCTAGTGGTCATCAGAGGGACCGGTGGCGCCTGTGCTCGGGAGCCTCACCTCTGTCAGTGTGCCCTGTGGCAGCTGTGGCTACATCGTAGCTCATCATCACCAGTGTGTGAATGTGTGTGTGAATGGATGACTCTGTCGTGTAAAGCACTTTGGAGTCCTCTGATTCTGAAAGGTGCTATACAAATGCAGGTCATTTATCATTTATTCTGCCTTGGCCCCCAAAATGCCTCAGTTCTACCCTTGGTGTGGGACAGAGTTTTGATGGGTAATCTGAATTGTATCTGTAAATATTACATGTGTATAACTTATTGCTTTATAAGGTGTAGTGGGATAAATCCATCTATACTTTTCCTTTTCAAGCTGTTTGGTTTGTTTTCTTCTTTTTTTGTGTGTGACTATTTTCCTGCCCTGTCTGTCTCTCATCTTCCTGAATCTCCTTTCAGTCATGCAGAAAAACCTTTTCCTAACCCTACCCCTAACTCCAACCCAGCCAATGGTCCCAGTCCTTCCCCGTGTCTCTCACAAACTTCTGCAGCATCCTCTTTAGGGTCTGATTAAACCTCTCCACCAATCTATCGGGTTGTGGATGGCATGGGGTGGTCTTTATCACTTTAATGCCCAGGTGTTTGCAGAAGAGCCGCATCAAGTTTGAAGCAAAGTTTTTGCCCTAATCTGTTATGATCTCATCAGGTATTCCAACATGAGAGAGCAGCTGCACCAAGACTCGAAGCACCGCCGGGGTCAGTGATGGTACATAGAGGGAAAGCCTCTGGAACATGTGTGGCATAATCACACAAAATGTACAGTAAAATGTCCACAACTGCTTTTTACTAACGGGTCGACAATGTCCATTGCCAATCTGCGAAACGGTAAGGTAATGACTGGCAAAGGTTGCAACATCCCTCTGTCTGACTTGCGAATAATGGCTGTCTTCTGACACTCCTGGCATGTGCTACAATATTTTTGAATATCAGTGTACATGTTCAGCCAGAAAAAATGTGGACTTACATGTATTATGGCAACCTAAATGTCCTGCCCATGGCACAGTGTGTGCTAGGTGCATGATAAGAGGCCGACATACAAATGGAACCACTAATCACTTAAACCCATTCTCAGTGTTATACAAAATATCCCCCTCCATGACAAAGAGAGGTTCGGTGCCCCCGTATCCACCCCTGACTGAAAAACAATGCTCTGATATTTTCATCCTCCCTCTGCAATACAGTGATGTTTTCAGGTAAATGAGGTAAATCCCATTTTAACTCAGTTTCACTTTGTGGCCCCACTGCTGGCAGTAAAAGCAAACAAAGTTCTTACTCGGTTGCTGCGGTGGTTGTTCACGACGGGTGTTACCTGAGCCCACACTGTCCAATCGTCCCTCTTGTATTCTGCTCTTTAGTTTAGGTGAACGTAGGAAGGAGCGATGGTTCTGGTTCACATCCAAACCTCCTCTCCATGCATTGATGAACTGCATAGCCAGCCTTGCTGCTTGTTGTCTGTCCCTTGGTTTGTGTTCTTTAACCCACTTGTGTACGTCAGGAGAAGGCAACATAAGAATTGTTCCAGGATATGGTCTTAACGATCTGTTCCTTGTGCTGTGCAGGCCGTACCCATCGCTGATAAAGTCTCATTAACCGGCTTCTAGTGGAGCCTGTCACCCTTTCAAGTGAGTCAGACTCGTTGCTGTTCAAACCCTGCGTGCTGGGTTAATCCCCTAAACTAAAGTACTGCCATTGACAACAAAATCCGTCATTTTAAATTCAACCGCTCGCTGCCATTGATGACTTAAGTTATCATTTGCAATTTTTTTGTACTGGACCAACATTAGAAAGAGCCCCCACACCGTGAGAACAAACGTCCCAGCTCTAAAGCTGATCTTCATCCGCAGATGCCCACAGGAACACAGAGCAGGGCGGGAGAAGGGGGACCAGGAAGGAGGGCCAAGTGGAACTGAGGGACCAGTGGAAAGGAGGCAGGGAACAGTAGAGTCCGGGGACCTGCGTCTTGGGCAGAGGAGGAGACGACGACGGGCTCTTGGGGGTCTGCGTCTTGGGCAGAGGAGGAGATGACGATGGGCTCTGGGAGGCTCGTGCCTGGTGAGGGCAGGACCGGCAGTGACGCTGGAGGAGACGGCGTCGACCTCTGGGCTGGAGGAGACGGCGTCGACATCTGGGCTGGAGGAGACGGCGTCGACCTCTGGGCTGGAGGAGACAGCGTCAACCACTGGGCTGGAGGCAACGGCGTCGACCACTGGACAGGAGGGGGAGACGTCGACCACTGGACTGGAGGGAGAGACGTCGACCACTGGACTGGAGGGGGAGACGTCGACCACTGGACTGGAGGGGGAGACGTCGTCCACTGGACTGAGGGGGAGACGTCGACCACTGGACTGGAGGGGGAGACGTCGACCACTGGACTGAGGGGGAGACGTCGACCACTGGACTGGAGGGGGAGACGTCGACCACTGGACTGGAGGGGGAGACGTCGACCACTGGAGTGGAGGTGGAGACGTCGAACAGGAGGAGACGTCGACCTCTGGAGTGGAGGAGGCGTTGACCTCTGGAGTGGAGGAGGCGTCGACCTCTGGACTGGAGGAGGCGTCGACCTCTGGACTGGAGGAGGCGTCGACCTCTGGACTGGAGGAGGCGTCGACCTCTGGACTGGAGGAGGCGTCAACCTCTGGACTGGAGGAGACGTCGACCTCTGGACTGGAAGAGGCGTCGACCACAGGACTGGAAGAAGCGTCGACCACAGGACTGGAAGAGGCGTCGACCACAGGACTGAAAGAGGCGTCGACCACAGGATACAAAGAGGCGTCGACCACAGGATACGAAGAGGCGTCGACCACAGGAAACGAAGAGGCGTCGACCACAGGACTGGAAGGGGCGTTAACTTCTGTCGACTTCTGGTCCGGAGGCGTCGACTTCTGGTCCGGAGGCGTTGACCTCTGGTCCGCCGACTTCTGGACCGCCGACTTCTGGACCGTCGACTTCTGGACCATCGACTTCTGGACCGTCGACTTCTGGAGTGGTGGTGCGGGACCGAGTGCTGACTGAGCTGATGGCGCCGGTAACTGGGAGAGCAGGGTGGATAGATTGTCCAGCTGGAGCTCCTGGAGACTGAGGCTCTGATGGAGTTTGGCCAGCTCAGCTCGGAGACCAGCGAGCTCTGCTGGGTGGACTGACGGCTCGATCCTTTGGCCCAGAGACGAGGGAGCTGCTGACTGGACCGAAACCTTCTCCTGATGATTCGGGGAGGATAGGGTGTCCAGCTGGAACTCCTGGAGGCTAACGAGCTGACGGATTCGGTCAAGCTCCGCTTGGAGGCCGCCGAGCTCTGTCAGCTGGGCTGTAGGCGTGGTTCCTCTGCCTGCAGATGACAGAGGCGCTGATTGGACTGGAGGCGGGACTGCTGGTCTGACTGGGGATGGGTCCAAGCTGGCGCGCCGAGCCGGGGCAGCGGCGAGCTCGCGGCTCTGTCCTGGGACAAGGGGTGACGGTGGAGCCCGGCATCCTTCCCAACGCCGTGGGCATACTCCGGGGGAGCACACAGCCAGTCCGGACGAAGAGGAGCCGGCCAGTGGTCTGCGGCGAGAAACTGAAGCAGGTACTCCCAAGGGATAACCTCCCCGCTGGATCCTTCTGTTGGTCGGTTCATTCTGTCAGCGTGTGCCGGTGAGGGGAGCGGAGGTGAGGATCCACATGCTGGGGAGGAATCAGGCAGGCAGACAAACCAGAACGAGGTAAAGACTTTAATATAGCACACACGCTGGACAATGAAACAATGAACCGACAATAGACACTGAACAGAAGGGGTTTAAATACATGATGGCTGGGAGCTTGGGTGATTGGAAAACGAGAGGCAGGTGGGAGCAATTAACAGAGACACATGGCTGAACAGAATGGGGGGACAAGAAGGGTGTGACAAGAAGCAGAAAACCCATGTGTTAGGAGATCACTTTGGGCCGCTGCTGTGAAAAAAGTGAGGCGCGAACCGGAAAAGCTTCTGCCGCTAACACTTCGACAATGGATTATGAAACAATGGATAACGCTCGAAACACGCTGATTCTTCCTGATGTAAGAACATAGACTGTACATACTGGACAAACGGATTCCATAGACTCCAATAACACGTTTTTTGTCCATAATGGGAGGTGGCCACCACCGCCATTTTGACCGTGTCACAGGTTCCGTCCAGCCCAGACAATTCCATAAAAGGGAAGAGAGGAGGCGCTGAGGGATCGAGTGACGAACTAGCTACGAGCTAATCTGAAGCTAACCCTGGCTAACCCAAAGCTAAAGCGGAGGTGGGAGCCGAGCTAACGAATGTAGCCACCTAGCTTCAATTCAACCGGAGCTAACTGGAACACCCAACGACCTGACCCTCACACGGAGTTTAGGTGGAGGTTTTCTGCGCCTGTTCGTGAGAAGTACCTGTATTAAAAAAGTTTTAAATCGGTAAGTTTATAATTTATTTCCGAAATGAAAACATTTTGCTTTGAGCAAGTTTTCAGTAGTTTTTTTCGGTGCTATCACTCCTGAGTCGCACCAGCCATTAAATGTATCATGAAGAAGAGAAAATATATTTAAGTCGTATTTTGGGGGGACATTTTATTATCTTTCTTACAAAATCTGAGACCAAGCGTTTCACATTGCAACACAAGCACCGGTAACCATAACAGAATGAACAGCCAGCAGAGGAGAGGATGGCGGTGTTTCAAACCCTCCCGGCCGGCGTGGAGAGCTCATTCCTGGGCTGGAGCCGGCCCTCAGCACCCCGCCACAGGCTCTAACAGATGCTGGCGGTGTTTCATATATTTCCAAAACGTAATACTTGTTTGTATCTTGTAAAGCCAACTAGCCTTTATTCTGGACTCAGTACAATTTACCAAAAGTAAAGAGACATTATACAGATGAAGTAAGCACAAGATAACTTACTGGAAGACACGGAATTATCATCAGAACCAGAACAAGAGAGCCTGATAACTGTCATGTGAAAATAACAGTTAAAAAGTATGTATGTATAATAGAAATAAAAATATATTAGAATTAGTGTAACTCACTGTGATCCAAACAATAAATCAGCCATAGCTGATTAGTAAATATGACATGAGGTCTGGGAGTTTTTAAGTTTCATTCTTTTATTACTTTTTTTCTTAGATCTGTTAAAAGGTCACCATGGCAGCCTGTGTGTCTCCAGCATCAGCTACACAACGCAGCGTGTAAGTTCCTGTCTTGACCACTTCATGTATGGTTTTGTACTTTAAACAATTATGACAAACCTGTTATTTTTTCTCCATAGCCATTTGGAACATTGGAGACAGCTACGTGAGGTGTGGTGCCCAGAGAGCTGCAGAGACCGTCGGACACAACCTTGGCCTCCCTGACGTCTGTGTCTCCTGGTTTGGTTGGGGCGGACCATCGACATACATACATGTGCCGACACTTTGCGCCCTGTTTTATAAAATGTAGTGTTAAAAATAAATGTTTTTGCTCAATTACTGGAATTTCTTTGGTTAAGGCAAAAGTGAGGAATAATCATTTACAAGTTATTTGTACAACAGGCCTGTTTTAAATCCCAACAGTTTCTTAGCAGACAATAGAAATGTGTTCTTTACTAACTTTACTTGGTTTGAAAATCTTACTAAAATAAACTTGAGTGCCGTATTGAAAAACCCAATCATACTTGTTATGTAAACATTAGCTTTGTAGATATTTTTTACAGATATATATTTGTGTGCAACAAAAACCAAACTTAAATAATTTGTCATTCTTTATTGAAAAACAACAAAATACAGGTATACAGAAGTGTGGGAAAATGATTATGTGAAAGTATTGCACTATAAATGAAGTGAGATGAGATGAAGGTGAGATGAAGGTGGACGCCAGCGGGCTGGACGCCGGACGAAGAAACCTGGAGACGGATCGCTCAGACAGGAAAGGAAGAGCTTCCTCTTACCTTGATGGAATTAAAGTTAGCCGTCGTCTGAATGCCCAACCGTATGGTCTGAGGTCAAAGGTCACAGGAAACACACCAGTCAGCAGTCATACAGATGCATAAAGATAACTGTAGCCATGGCAACCAGCTGACATGTCCCCACTTTCACCAGCACCTGGTGCCTGCCGGGTCACCTGAATTTCTGTGTGATGTCAGCACGGTCGGCCGTGACTGCGGCCATCAGAGGTGACCTCTGATCAGCTGAATGAACTCACCTTCCAGGGTGACGCCGTGTTAAGAGTCGGCTTCATCCTGTAAACAAACAAACAAACAAACAAATGAGTGGTAACAAAAACACCACGTCTGGTTCTGGTGGAGGCGGAGGACAACATGCACCTTTCCAGGAGCAGAACCCAGATGTTCTCGTTGCTACAAACAGAGACGAGCAGAGTTAAACCAGGAAGTGAGAGGGACCAGCTGCTGCAGACAGGTGACGCTCACCTGAGCCTGAACCATAGGAGCCTCCTCAGCCATCAGACCTTCTGACTCCAGTTCAGATGCCACCTTGTTGATGTCCCTCAGGCGGGACTCGTTGGCCTTCAGGTCCTGCAGGACAAAAGCACCTGCTGATTACCTTGTTGCTGTCGGGTTAACAGGTCTGGTGTTAGAACGTGGTGGATAGGAATGTTCCGATGGGCCGAGGGTTCTGAACTCACCCTGCAGGACTGGGCCTGCTCCTTCAGGGCCTGGATGCTGCTGCCGTAAGCCGACAGGTCCGACATCAGGGCCTCGTGCTTCTTCAGGAGAGCCTGTGGAGCAGAACATCAGAACCTTCAGCTCGTCTGACACAAGTGGAGCTTTCTCGCAGCGATGGTCCAATCGGATCCGCCACCGTAAAACAAACCCTGCTCAGTTCACCGCAGACGCAGCTCTGCGGGTGTTTAGTGGAAAAGCGTGAGCCTTCTGCCGGCTGCCACGTGTCATGGCTGCTCTGCAGCGGGAACACACATCACAGCTTGTAAACCGTTTGAAATAAGAGCGCCGGGAACACGTTTGTCATCACTTCCTGTGCGAGGCCAGCACTTCTACCCCTAACCCATGAGACGCTCAAACGAGCAACGACGTCTGGTAGACAACCGAAGGAAAGGACAAATACAGAAACACTAATTATGAAGGACTGGAAAGAGAGCAAAAAAAAGCAATTGGAGTTTCTCAGGAAGGGACTTCCATACCTCGGCCAAGTCCTCGTCTTTCCCTTAGTCTGGACTTCCAACGATGGGCTCCTTCTCCCTCATCCAGGACTCGGCCTCATTAGCATCCGCAAAGTACTGCTGGGCCTGCAGAGAGTCCTCCAGGTCCTGCCTCCTCTGGGACGCCTTGGCCTTCAGCGTGTCCCAACGTCCATGAAGCTCCCACAGTTTAGTCTTCACTTCCTCACCAGCGAAGTGACCTGGACCCAAAAAAAGTGAGCCAGAACCTGCAGACACCTCAGAAACATGTCAGGACCAGACCTGCTATACCTTCTTCCACCATGGTCTCTCCTTTCTGGGTGACAGCCTTGATGCGAGGTTCATGACCTGTGATCTCAGCCTGCAGAGCCTGGTGCTTCTTCGGCAGGTTCTGGACACCAATCAGGTCCTTTCCTGAGGACACATGTTAGAGTTCAGCATTATGCAGTAGACAGACCAGTTTAACCCAGGGGTTTCTTTCTTCTACAATCTGCTCTTTAACTGTATTATTACCTGCTATTTCAGCTGTTAACTTTATTTTTTCTCTAAGTGTTTTTCTCCCCAGAAGAAGCTACAATGGTGTTCTGCTGAGCTGTGGTGGCCCCATGGAGAGGGCCATCGACTAGCACACTGCTGCTAACCACTTAAACATTCTCCCTTTCCTGATAATAACTTTTTACTTTCTTTGATGTTGGATGTGCTACTGCTAGTTTACCCGTTTAATTATAGATTCACTAGGATAAATACAATAAAGTTTATCTCTCGCCAAATAGAATATTTACTAAGAAATCACAATGTAATGTGTGTGTGTGTGTGTGTGTGTGTGTGTGTGTGTGTGTGTGTGTGTGTGTGTGTGTGTGTGTGTGTGTGTGTGTGTGTAAAAGCCATGTGTTTTGTTTATTTATAAAGCATATGTTGTTGGATTTTATCCAGAATCGAGACTTTGAAAATATATAGTTTAATTACAGTTTGATTTATTTGACATCTGTATAATGTTTATTATTTTGTTTTTTCCCCCTAAATACCTAACGCTTTAGTTAACATGAATATTAGTCATTCATCCCAATACATAAAGTTACACATTTTAAATTTTAATAGGGGAAGACTGCAGGAGGGAGCGGTAAAATACAGGGGCCCCCCCAGCAAAAACTAACTTTACGAGTCTGATGAAACTTGCTGGTGTTCCCGCTGCTTCTTCGGTAAACAGCGCCAACAAAAACAAAGAAACTTGGGATCTTGTCGGCGTGGCGGTGGGATTTAAGGGAAATGCTGTATGCCCTATAGACTTCTCAACGAGCTGCAGTATTTCTCCGGTCAGCCCGCAGCAGCGAGGCGCCGCATCGGTCAGCCTGCCCGGCCTGACCGCTGGGGATTACCGGATGAAAGAATGGAGCACAGGTGTCCCTCCAAGCGGCGCGCTCCGTCATATTTCAACCCATTTTTATCTTAAATGCACGGGGTTTTACCCATCGAAATATGCCCTATTAATTATTTTACCGTATTTTACATTTAAATTTCATGGTTAAACAGTACATGCTACATGTTAAACTGATAGTTAGCTAGCTACTTCGGTAAACTCAGCTATAGGCGGCAGTGACATAAAATACAAATATAGATTTTAACTTACCAAAAAAAATGAAGTGGAGACTCCTTGGACGCTCTATTAGTGCAATTAATACCACAGCAAGTCATTTTGTCCAACAATTGCACAAATAATATCCAAAACAGAATTCACAAGCACAGAGACTCAAAATCCCGTAACAGCTTCCAGGAGGGACCGAGGCTGTACTGAGGCCTTTCCATGGACCTAGCTCTGTGGTCACGTGGGTCTGAGGCGGCGGTCACGTGGGTCTGATGCTCATTAATTATACAGAATTTTAGGCTTTTAATACACTTAAACAGAAGAGTGAGAAAAAAATTCACCCCCCTCAGAGTTGTCATGAGTATAAACTAGATAATTTAGACGAAAAACATGTTCTGGTACCAGGCTGTAAACATGTTTATTTCTGCTGTGAAATCGGCATTTTTAACATGGGAGTCAATGAGGATTTGCTCGCTTCTGGCACCAGCCCCCAGCGGATGAGGGTGGAACTGCAATTTTTCTTACTTCCGGGATGGGACCGTTTTTAGAGAGGCACTGTGGGGGCTTGTGTAAGAAGTGAGTCTACTCTTTGTTTTGGTAGTTTGGCATTGACATAATCATAGAGCACAATGTTCTGTGACCCTTCCGAAAACAGTAAAAACACACAACAAAAAAAACCCGCTGGCAGTGAGAGGGTTTTCTGACCAGGACACGGCCGGCAGTTAAAGATTTGCCAAATGATTTGTGCAATAGTAGGATTTTAATTTTATTTCCACTAAAGGCTAATTCTAGGTTTGATATTACAGAAAATGGGGGCGGCTTGCCATAAAATTTATGTTTATATTTATGTATTAGGCAGACGCTTTTGTCCAAAGGGACTTACAGGCAGGGGCGGATTAAGAACTGAAGAACATCCGGGGCTTAACATACGCGCGCACACGCACCCGCGAACATGCGCACACACACGTGACACGCACTAGTCAACATCATACATGTCTTATACCACATAATTTTTAATCTGAAGCTACATATTAAGCATTTTCAGGGCAGAGTGTTGTTCCTGTTAGTGATTAGTGTGAGATGATAGTAAGTATTCCCTTTCTTTCTCCAACAACTTTACCTGATAGTAAGCTAACTTTAGGCAAACCAGCAGCACAACAAATATTTTCAAATAAGACTCACAAACCTGAGTCAGCACCAGTCTCATCAAAGCTGGGGTTCTGTCGTTGTACTTTTGGTCTAAAAAACGTCCTTATGTCCATCTTCACTCATGCGTTTCAGGCAGAGAGTGTAGAAGAAGCCGGCTGCTGAAGAGCTTCCTCTTCAGTGGTGGAGGCTCAGGCAGGCTGTATACAAACTACTGCCAGCTGCACCCTCTCTGTTGGACTTTGGTACTGCATGTTACTTCCACGATTTAGATTCGGGGCTTTCCATGAAAGATCCGGGGCTTCAGCCCAAGTAGCCGGGCCTAACGCCGCCCCTGCTTACAGGTGATAATCAAGACATCAGGTTGCTCTTGAGGCTTTGGCTCAACTCTACACATAACATCCCAATGAAAAAAAGATAAAACCACTTTCACTCAATCTGGCAGAATTCTCATGTCTGTAAAAAAAATTCTAAAAGTTGTCACATTTCAAATAACTAATTAGTACATCCCCTCAAAGTACATTTAATTTGTTTCCAGTCTGAACAAAAACAAAGTGTCTCTTAACTAACTTGGTAAAGAAGGTGGATTTTGGGACTTCCACTCCAGAAGAAGTTGCTGTCTGGCCAGCAACAATGTAAAAGGCAGTCATACTTTTCTTGGATTGGAGTGTGGGCTCCTTGTTATGCCTCCTCTCACCTGCAGCCCTGGCTCAGCCAAAAGGTTTTGGAGTTGGAGCTGAGGATTTCCACACTACCAGATCCAGGACCACGAGCGCGACATAGAAACTATCACCAGCCGGACATTTGCTGCGGCTGACAGCCCTCAGCTGATTGGTGCCATTCCCCGTCAGCCCAGAGAGGCTGCTGGGGCCAGATCCGTCCCAGGGTCTCCCGGTGGGCTCGGGGCAGGAGGTCCATACACTCACTCAATGGCGGTTCTACATGGAGTTACAACCCGGGCGAGACATCCCTTGAGCACCCCCTTGAGGTTAGTGAGTCGCTCCTGAGACATGGTTGACCTCAGGTATGACTTGATCAACTTCAGTTTTGAAAAGCTCCTCTCTGCTTGAGCCGCAGTGACTGGCAGAGTAAGAGCAATCCTGAGAGCAGTCCAAAAGTTGGGGTAGATTTACGCTAGATCTTTATCATGGATAAAAGTGATAAGCTCGAGGAGGCTCATGGCTGTTGATGGCAGGTTAGGGAAGTTTTTGATTTCTTGCACAAGCTCTCTACGTCCAAATCAGAGTTCCCATCAAAGTGCAGTGTGGCGCTTAGTTCCTCACATTGCTCTGTCAGCTCTTCATCTGCAAGGCTTGGAAAATTGGTCAAAACCACAAATTTGTTTTGTACAATTTCCAGTGTGGCAAAACCTCTCCTTGATGGCTGACGTGGCTGCATCAACAACAACATTGAAGAATCCAACCTCCAAATTTTTAAGGGCATCACTGAAAGGCTCATCATGGGATTCATATGAAAAGTGGCACTTTGTGGGCCTCAACCTTTGTTGTTTCAAAATGCTGTCACAAAGCCACTTGCCCTGTAGCTCTGGAGACCTTGCTCAGTCTTTTTCAAAAGAGTCACAGCTAGGTCCACATGTATATTTGGAGACTGCATGAGTTTGCTAGCGTGCTATGATCAGTAGACCAGTAATGTTTTTCATTAACATGTTCACTAGTACTGGAAATGCTAATAACAGGACAGTTAGTGAGGACTGGGGACTTTTTTTCTGCTTGTAGAGTTTATTCTTTATTATGTGAACATGAATCATGATCAGCATGTTTTTGTTGTTGTTCAGGAGGCAGGCCGCAGGTTGAAGTGTGCATTTAACAAATCCTTGCTGTTGAATCATCAAAAAAGGATTCAAGGAATTTATTCAAACCCTTTATTTTAAACTTTCACCCCTATTTGCTCTGTTATCAATTAGTTGACTGAATTTAATCGTTAAAATCGTCAGTTAACCATCCATTTCCATTTTCATCCGCTTATCCGGAGTCGGGTCGCGGGTGCAGTAGACTAAGGCAAGAGGCCCAGACTTCCCTCTCTCCAGGCACTTGGGCCAGCTCCTCCGGGGGAATCCCAAGGCGTTCCCTGGCCAGGTGAGAGACATAGTCCCTCCATCGTGTCCTGGGTCTACCTTTAGGTCTCCTCCCGGTTAGACGTTCCCGGAAAACCTCACCAGGGAGGCGTCCAGGAGGCATCCTGTCCAGATTCCCGAGCCACCTCAACTGGCTCCTCTCGATGTGGAGGAGCAGCGGGTCTACTCTGAGCCCCTCCCGAATGACCGAGCTTCTCACCCTACCTCTAAGGGAGAGCCCAGCCACTCTTCCAAGAAAACTCATTTAGGCCGCTTGTATCCGTGATCCCGTTCTTTCGGTCACTACCCAAAGTTCATGATCATAGGTGAGGGTAGGAACGTAGATTGACCGGTAAATCGAGAGCTTCACCTTCTGACTCAGCTCTCTCTTCACCACGACAGACCGGTACAACGCCCGCATCACTGCAGATGCAGCACCAATCCACCTATCGATCTCATGTTCCAGTTTTCCCTCACTCATGAGCAAGACCCAGAGATACTTAAACTCCTCCACTTGGGGCAGGACCTCATCCCTGACCCGGAGAAGGCATTCTACCCTTTTCTATTTCAAGACCATGGTCTCAGATTTAGAGGGGCTGATTTTCATCACAGCTGCTTCACACTCGGCTGTGAACCGCTCCAGCGAAAGTTGAAGATCACATTCTGATGAAGCCAACAGGACCACATCATCTGCAAAAAGCAGAGACATGATCCTCAGGCCACCAAAATGGATGCCCTCCACACCTTGGCGGCACCTAGAAATCCTGTCCATAAAGGTTATGAACAGAATCGGTGACAACGGGCAGCCTTGGCGGAGTCCAGCTCTCACTGGAAAGGAGCCCGACTTACTGCCGGCAATGACGACCAAGCTCTGACACCAGTCATACAGGGATCTTACAGCCTGTATTAGAGGGCCTGGTACCACATACTCCCGGAGTACCCCCCACAGGGCCCCCCGAGGGACGCGGTCGAACGCCTTCTCCAAATCCACAAAACACATGTAGACTGGTTGGGCAAATTCCCACGCACCCTCCAGGATCCCCCTAAGGGTATAGAGCTGGTCCAGTGTTCCACGGCCAAGACGAAAACCACATTGCTCCTGCTGAATCTGAGGTTCAACAATCTGACAGACCCTCCTCTCCAGAACCCCTGAATAGACCTTACCAGGAAGGCTCAGGAGTGTGATCCCCTGTAGTTGGAACACACCGTACGGTCCCCCTTTTTAAATAAGGGGACCACCACCCCATTCTGCCAGTCCAGTGGGACTGCCCCCGATGTCCACGCGATATTGCAGAGCCATGTCAGCCAACACAGCCCCACAACATCCAGAGCCTTAAGGAACTCCGGGCGGATCTCATCCCCCCTGGAGCCTTGCCACAGAGGAGCTTTTTAACCACCTCAGTGACCTCAGCACCAGAGATTTGAGAGGCCAACCCAAAGTCCCCAGACTCTGCTTCCTCACTGGAAGACGTGTCGGTGGGATTGAGGAGGTCTTCGAAGTATTCTGCATTCCGATCCAAAATGTCCTGAGTAGAGGTCAGCAGCACACCGTGCCCACTATATATAGTGTTGGTGGCGCACTGCCACCCCCCACCCCCACTCCCGTGGAGCCGGATGGTGGACCAGAATCTCTTCGGAGCCGTATGGAAATCTTGCTTCATGGTCTCACCGAACTCCTCCCATGCCCGGGTTTTTGCCTTGGTGACCACCCGAGCCGCGTTCCGCTTGGACTGCTGGTACCCGTCAGCTGCCTCTGGAGTCCCACAGGCCAAAAAGACCTGATAGGACTCTTTCTTCAGCTTGACAGCATCCCTAACCGCCGGTGTCCACCAGCGGGTTCGGGGGTTGCCACCACGACAGGCACCGACGATACTGCGACCACAGCTCCGGTTGGCCGCCTCAACAATGGAGGCACGGAACAGGGTCCATTCAGACTCAATGTCCCCCGCCTCCCCAGGAACATTTTGGAAGTTCTGTCGGAGGTGGGAATTGAAGCTCCTTCTGACAGGAGACTTTCTTGTAAATTAGCAGGTACTAAAGCTACATGTGAGTATAAAAATAAAGCCTGTCATGCAGCACAACATGTTTTTCAATATCTAACATCTACTACATCACTAAAGTCAGTCGGTCTTGTAAAGTTTTTAGCAACAATGACTCAGTCCTGACTCCTGACTGGAGCAGCCTATATAAACCTTAAATAAATCTGCATGAGACTAAGTATTGAGAAAAGAGCCCATTCTCCTCCGAATACAAATTATGGAAGTTCTTGTCTTCTCCAGCATCCTTTGTTTATGTTAGAGGCTCTGTTCCTTCTCATCTGCCTTATTGCAGAGGCGGGCCGCCCCCAGCCCTTCCTGAAGCTCTGCCCTTCCACCCCTGCAGGTTAGTCATCATCTGTCATGTCAATTTTTAGTTGATCCCTCTATTTACTCTTATGTTTTACATTTTGCCCTTTAGTGTTCAGTTAACAGCTCCTTCCCAGTAATTTGTCTTGTGAAAGTAATAAGTTTAAAATGTGCTGCCCTTGCTCCCTGGCTATTTGTGTTGTGT